CTAATTTATTGAGATGCACCTGTATATATATATATATATATTATTTTGCATGGATTAAAGACAGGAGTATCACTACATTGTAAGTTTGCTATTATATTACATGCACAGATGAATCATTCAGAGAAAGACCAGAAACATGTACTTAGAAAGTAAATATGGTTTTGATTTAATGTCGACAAAAAAAAATTTGACTTTAATGTTGATTTGTGGGTATCAGATACCAAAACAGATTTATGCCATTTCCACACAATAAGATTAAATTTGTGCCAGATTTTTGTGGGAAAAACTGTTTCATGCACTGATTCCTTTGATCTCGACTCATTACAGGAAAACTTCCTCTCCAGCTGTGCTGTCTTAGGACACGCAAACAATCTCAACAGAGTTATTATCATTGACTAAAACTAAAACCTTACATAAAACATTTGTTACTCGAGATGAAATAAATGTTAACTGAAATATAATATAATATAATATAATATATAAAAAATAATATAATATATAAAATGTTTAGCATTTTACCATCATTTTCATTCAAATTAAGCAGATTTCCCCCTAAAAGTACTAAAATAATAATAATAATAGTAATAATAAACCCTATAAAAACTAAACCCTAAAAAAAATCATAATAGTAAAAAAAAAAAAAAAATTACCAATTAAAAATTAAGAAAAAAAATACAGAGAATATAAAATAAAAACAAATAAAAATATTAATAAAAAATATTAGTATATTAATTATACTAATAAAAGATACACCTAATACTGAAGAAGTTTGTATATGCAAACGTATTGGTGTGTAAGCTCAAGAAAGTATAAACAATTTCAACAAGAGAAAAAGTTTGCACACATAATTGTAAAAACAAATCTTACAAAAATAGCATATTTTAATGGATATATTTGATATTCTTCCTTATGTTATGGTTATGCAGTAATAGCTTTGGATATCAATGAATATTAGCACACATATTGATGCTTCATGCTATTGGGTATATAGGCATTTTTAAGTTGAAAATATTGAATCAAAAACATTGCACTGATCATGTTGCACTTTTTGGCCTCTGAATAAAAGCATTTTGTAAGTTTTTCTGTGATTATGTGAACAAGCTTCTCCTGTTGTTGAACTATATTAATGATACTAAATGAGCATTTCTAAAGCCCACCTTCTCTCCGAAGATCCTCTGGCAGATCCCGTTCTTGGCCAGTTTTTCCTTCACCTGCCGGGTGAGTTCGAGGGTGTCCACCTCGCGGTACATGTACACCTCGTACTGCTCCGGGGTCAGCGGCGGGACGGTGGGCTTCAGGGTTCGGGGGATGTAGGTGGGGTAGTACGACACCCGTCCTCCCCCGCAGGGCGGCTCTCCGCTGACCGACGCGTCCGACTCCACCTTGACCTCCAGCGGCCGTCCCAACACGGGCTTGTCCTCAGGGGCGGATGCTTCCTCGCCGTTCACGGGACAGTCTCCGTTCTCCATCCACGGCCAGGGACGAGGCATGGACGCATGTCCCGTGGATGAAGAGGAGGAGAGCGACGGAGACACGGAGGTGAAGGGGTGAGCGGTGCCGCCCACGCTCATCACGACCGTGCCGCGCTCGGTGGACCAGTGCTGGTCGAAATACGCACCGGCCTCGCCGATCTCCGACTTCACCTTGCGGATGATGTTTTGGACGAAGACGGCGGGGGACAGGACGCTCAGGGGCATCTGAGGGCTGCTGGCGGGATTGGACACACCCTCTTCCTGTTTGATGAAGGGCGGTGTGGGGGGCGGCTGAGTCATGGCGGGGTCCTGCAGGGCGAGACGCTCGCTGGAGGACGCCCGGTTGCACACCTCCATCTCCAGCAGGGCCTGCTGCTGCGCCTGCATCTCTCGACGGGCCTGCTCCAGGATGCCCTTGATGGTTTCGTCCGAACTGCTGCTTCCTCCGGAGCTGTTACGGCCTGATGAGCAGCCCAGAGACGACTTATAATCTCCTGGCCGACACACACAGATCACAACATGAGTTTGCATTGCTAGTCAGAAGTAGTTTTAAAGTCGGCATGAAACGGAAGTTGCAATTGCATTTTCTTCTCTACTGTGACGTATATCTGAGTGAAACGGCATCTGAAATGAGAGGGCGGGGACTTGATTTCGTCCTTTGGGAATTGACTGGATCGTTGGAAGCTGGGGCGTTGCTAACAAAATGGAGGCAGATCTGAATGCCAGTTTGCAGTTAGTGGTGGGGGATTTCTCTCCACTGGATTCACAGCCGACATCCAAGCATGAATAAATGTTTTATTTATTAAGGATGACGACGACGATCAACGGCACAAAACATGCCTAAACAGCGCGCGCGCGCGCGAGAGAGAGACTGCCTGAATGACTGAGCGCGTCCTCCATCAGGTTAAGTCATCTTCATGAAAAAAATTAGTTTGCGATGTCCTAAGAGTAATGTTGTCATAATATCCTAATATCTTTTCAGTGTTTAGGGGTAATATACTCCCTCATGAATGGTGTCAGTGCTATAAAGTGAAGCATCAGCTTCTGCTTTTCCCCTTGTCGTTTATCTCAGCATCACTAGCTCCGCCCTTGTGCCATAGCTCGTGACCGGAAGAGAAGAGGAGTCATTTTGAGGGGAAGGAGAGGTTAACGTTTTTGATTAAAGATTATAAGGGTACATGAATTTTTAAATAATAATGAAGTGCACGGATAAATTATTTATAATAAACACTGCAGTATTCCATTAAAAAATAAGAATTTTCAATTTTGATTTCATGGTGACTTTAACTTGACATGGATTCTTTAAAAAGTGGTGCGCAAGACACACCATAACAGCCAAACTAGCACATGTGTTGACAAATAATTACTATTTATTAAAATTATTATATTAAAGAAATAAAATAATAAATGAGTCATATTTATATCATCAAAATAATTTAAAGGTCCCATATTGTCAAAACTAAAATTTCCAGGCTTTTTTCATGATAACTGAGGACTAGGTGCTATGTAACTACCATATAAGTTTCAAAACAGTCAGTCCACAGTAAAATGCACACAGCCTGCATAAAGTAGCTGTGATTTTTCACGAACCGTTGTGCGTTCAAAGTTGACGTCAGAACTACACAGTCACGCCTTCAGTCACCACCCCGAGCACCGCCCACCGTCCCACTCTCCTTTAGCCACACCCCCAGACAACATCGCGTCCATGCCATTGCTGAGCAACAACAACAACACGGAAACATGTCGAAAAGGTTAACTTTAACCACGAAACCAGATCGGCCGACCTGTAACGTTACACTCTCACTCAAAGGATGGACGATCTGACAGGATTGTTACTATGAGGTGATCACATCTAACGTGTAAACTAAAGACAAACTCACCGTGTCTATCTAATCTAGTCATGATGAAGATGTATATATATTTCAATTTGAGAACTAAACTATTTTTACAGCTACATTGTTCCAGCCACAAATAATCACAAGAATGT